CTTCTTGCATGGAACCCATCATGATTCAGAACGCAACAGAAAGTGTGTTAAGTGACTTTTGGAGTTCAGCTTGAAGAGTTTTGGGTGGTTTGGTTGGTAGTTTACAGTGGGGTTGCATTTCCTTGGGAGGTTGCCGCAGTCCGGACAAACAAAAACACCAAAACACACAACGAGGATTTGAGCTGAACAAAACCCAAAATCAGAAAAACAACACGACCATGACAGCTTACTTCTTGTTTTCTATGGAAACTTGAGGCTCAGTCATTATTTCTACGGTTTCTCTGTTTGGAGGGCGACTTTGATTCGCTGGAATGACGCAACTCAGAGAAACTGGATTTTTACAGTTAGTTTACTGAGAAACATCTGTCCAGTCCTCAAGTGTTTCCCCATCCTTTGACTTCCTGTTTTGATCCTAGTCAACATGACATGTTTTCAGTGTGCTGAGATCACAGCTCAGGAATAGCTCGTTTAAACTACAGATCTGTTATTCTCTGCCTTTAAGAGTCCTGAGTGAAACACACAGGCTTGTACAACCACATCACACGCTCACTTCACTGTGAATCACTCAGAAAAATGAGCGCAGGTTTCTGCCGCTGCCCGCTGCAGCAAAGGACCAGTTAGTGCATAAAAAAACCATGAACAGATGTGTGAGCAGAACACAGAACCACCCTGACAGAACCGCCAGTCCTGCCTCTGTGTTCTTGCAGAGCCATGACCCACCCAGTCTCTGAACCTCCCAGCTCTTCATGAGCAAGAAGGACCCATATGAGACCCGAGGGCTGCTGGGAGCTCGCCATCCATCATCGCTGCTGCTCGGTCTTTAACCACACAGGCTCCAAACGGCTTTGTGTTTGATATGTTTTAAAATGACAACCATTCAAATATGTCTCCTGTAGTGAAAGTAAGAATGGGAGATGTGCCATGGCGCATGTGTGCATGTAACACACTTAATTCTGTACATCTGAGTTGCATTTGGTTTTTGGAAAGTCCTGTAGAAATATTTATCATGTCATCCGATTTGCTTTTGTGGTGACCATCTGTTTAGCTTCTAACCTGCGAAGCATGTGGCCTTGCAAGTGGTGTGGTCTGCTGTTGTCGGGCAGTCCTTCTGCACTGCATTAGAACACCGGAAAATAAATAAAAAATACAAATACAGAGCCTGGCTGAAATTTTAGAGGAAATGATCAAACTGTCCAAGAAGAAACACTCCCCCCTTTTCCCTTCTTCATAGGAAATAATGAGGCTCCTTCCCTGAACTGGAAAAGATGCATTAGAAACAGACATGGCCAGTCAGGGATGATGCCACCACATGTGACATTCCAACTGCCTCCTGAGAGAAAACCAGTGAGCAAACTAAAAACAAACTCCACCGTTTCGAACTGGAGTTTCCACATTTGTTGTTTTGGACCAAGCAGTTTGGTGCTTTTTGCTTAGTGTGTATTTTTTAACAAAGCTACTTTTATACACCAGAGAACCCAAAATTTCCTGTCTGGAAGTTTACAAACAACCATGTCACACACATCAGAACCAAAGCACAAGCTCCTCAGGTCAAAGCTCACACCTATCTGAAGGATACGTTATGTTGGGACGATATTTGTTTCCATGTTTTCCAAAGAGTTGCAAAAACGTCTAAAGCAGGCTATTTATAAAGAGGAAATCATCATCAAGTGCTGATCCTGGAAATGAACAAGTAATGTCAGTGAAGGCATCATGGCTCCCCAGATGGCTGAAGAAGGTCAGTACTCAGAAGGTTAAGAGGTCATTGTAGGACTATGTTACATACCGATTGAGCCCGAGTTCCAGCTAAGCCAGATGGATTATGGAACGATGGGAATGAAAACTAGATTGGCTTTCTCGTGGAGTAAAATATTATTCTTCATTATTCTTGATTTTTAACCACACTGTTTATCTGGTGCCTAAAGGCCAACTTGACTCATATTTGTAATACATCTGCAGTGGTCTCTACTAGGAATGAATGCCTTGTAAGTCGTACTCTGAGGAACAAAAGCTCCAGTGCACCTGTTTGAGGATGTAGAACTCAGCTGGAGGAGAAAGTAGCTTCAGACGACAGGATCTGGAGTCTTATTTCCTGATATTTGGACATCTCGCCTCTGATTGGCTAACAGCAACGTGACTGTACCACTGAATCTGTTTTCTTGGAACGTTGATGTTTTTTCTCCACTAATAACACAAGCCTGGAGGAGTTCTGCTGTGTGGTGGAGTTGCTAATGCTAATGGTTAGCTTCTACTAGCCAAGGCATTCTCTGCTGTTTCCTGGAAGCTAAACCAACAACAGCCTTCTCCACCGTGAGTCAAGATGGGTGAGTCTATGAATGTTAAGTGGCAGTGTGACGCAGATCTTTCAGGATTTTCTAATCCTAGAGTTTCACCATCTATTTTTCTATCAGAAGCTAAAGAAGCTAAATACTTTTCAGTCTCAGAGACTATTTTCATGTTCAGCCTGCATGAAAAACTCAGTGACCCATTATAATCAGAAATAATCCGAATTTTTTTCCATTTAAGTTGACACTTCAACAGGACCCTGAGACCTGCTATTAAAATCACTAAACCCAAACCCAGTCACTAAAACCTTTCCTGAACTCTGAACCGATCCAGAAAATAACTCACTGTGACTCACTGGTTTCAGTAACTATTGGAGAAAAGGTTTGGCGTCCCATTACCAGCTTCAGTAGCCCACATAAACAGTTTCTATATGGGATAGGGGCAGAAAGCATTGGTGCTGTCATAGACATGTCAACAGTCTGGCATTAAATTGCCTGTATTTTATATAGCGCCTTCTAGAGTCTTGGCATCAATCAAGCTTTGGAGGAGAAACAGATGGCTATAGGCAGTCAGGAGACAAGTAAGTCTTCTCAGTTGGTTTAGAATGAATCTTTTAACTCAAAAGTGAATAAAGGTCAAAGGCTACCAAACAAATCTCCTGTATGTGGGCAGGGCCAGATTAAGACTTCGTTGTACCCTGGGCAACAATATTCAAGGGCTCCATCATCACGACCCAAGGATCACCATAATATGGTCACATACAGAATATATTACTGTAATATGCAGTAAATATACTCAATACTTGAATGCCTGACTTCACGTAACCCGCTCAGGGTAACCTTTGACCCACCTTGTGTGGACTGACCAATGAGGAGAGAGTCTTAACTTGAGGCCCTCTCTTCATTGGTCAGTCTACAAGAGACTGACTCTCAACTGATGTTCAAAGCGAAGCGTCTCTGTGCAGCGCAAAAGCCCGGGTGGACAGTTTGTTTAATACAGGGTGATCATATTTCCATTTCCAAAAAAGAGGACAGGAGATCTGTGCCTATGACATCACACTATGGCAACGCCACACAACGCTGGGACCCATTTTTTGTAAGAACTAAATTAATATCAGATTCTGTCAATAAAAGGGCTCTAAAACAATAAATACTTAGCATATTTACTGCAAAATCTCATTTTTCTGCTTTAGTGCTGCAACAAGGTTTTATTAATAATAAATTATAACTTTTGTTTTAGTACAGCATCGGTACGCTTCCTCTGTACAGATTATTAAGGATGCATGTTTCAGCTGTGAGAATAGACGATAGGATCAATGATAAAATAAGTTGTCACACACTCCATGGAAACTTTCAGAGAATCCACAAATAGTGGCTTTCAGATGGTTTTGTTACTTTTAGCAAGTTTAGAAAAGCAGCAGATGAGACAGCATGTCTGATAATTTAGTTCTTCATCTGATAATATTAGAACATGTCAGTGATGTCTGAGGGGCTTTTATAAACACTGTATAACTAACACTACTGGAGAGGGTATGGATTACACAGAGGCTTCTGGGGAGCCCAGGTGGTGGTGGGGTGGTGGTGGTGGTGGTGGTGGTGGGGGGGGGGGGGGGGGGTCATTTTGCATTGGCTCCCAAAATGTCTTGAAACGGCCCTGGGTGTGTGACTGAGTTGTGAAGCTGATCTGAATTGTATCAGATGTATAAATATTACATGTGTATGACTTACTGTTTTATACAGGTAAAAACGTGTAGTGGAGATAAATCTACCTATTTTACTTTTCAACACTTTGTTTTGTTTTCTTGTTTTTAGTTAACTATATTTTCCTGTCTTGTCTGTCTCTCTTCTTCCTGCATCTCCTCTAAACTCTCCAGAAAATCTGCTGCCTGGATTCTTACTTTTTCACCTCATCAGTTACTTTTGAGCAGATCAAAGGGATCTCCTGACCACAAAGCGGAGAGCGCGTTTCGATGCGTCAGTGAGGTGAAATCACCGCAGCACAGGTGAAGAGCTCCGCAGTGGCAGAGCGCTTCAAGCACAAATGAGACAGAAAGTAGAGAACATATGCGGACATGAACGATCGTGTGTTAATTATAGTTTTTTGGTTGCACTTTGAGAATGGACCGTGCGCTGGACGCAGCAGCCTGGAGCGCTGCGCACCGATCATCGCTCTGCCGCTCTCTGCTGAAAAGAGTCCATGAATGATAATATAGAATATAGGTAGAAAACTTTTTTCCGGCTCCCCTGAATGTGTATATACAGCTCCCCCATCCCTGCTCCTGGATGAAAAGCCGGACATTTTCATCAATACAAGAACCCGGACATCCAGGACAGAGTGAAAAGCGGACATGTCTGGGGAAAACAGGGCGTACGGTCACACTAGTTTAATATAAAGCGGGAGATTACAGATACAGTAATTTGCTCGTGCCCTTGCTGCCCTGGGCCCTTTAGAGTTTGTGGGCCCTGGGCAATTGCCCAGTTGCCCGTATGGTTAATCCGGCCTTGTATGTGGGGGAAAATTGGCTCAACAACTGTCCGTCATTTTCTCAAACAGCAGATTGAATTAGTGAAATAAACCAGCTTGCATGATTCAAAGGTTTTAATTATAGCACATTTCATTCACCGAGGCATTTCAATGGGGCTGATCCTGTTCTCTTAGTCAAACAGGATCCAGAGTTTCTTCATGGCCAAATCTTGTTTAGTAAAAGATGTTCTTACCTTTTGCTCTACATACTGTTCTGTCTGGTAATTCAGAATGGGACGAAGGCCGTGTTGGTCCAGTGGTGCCTGAGGATCCAGGCTGAAGTTCAGGCTGATGTAGATGGGAGAGAGTTTATCCCGAAACTCTTCCTCAGCCTGAAACAAAACACGAGACACATGAGACGAAAAATAAATAAATTAAAAAAAAGAAATACAGAAAAAATGGTCTTAGATGTGGCTGATACCAGAAATGTGGCTGGAAGGGAATTATCCCAGCTGCAACCACATCAACAGTCAGTTAAAATACAAAGGCAGTTTTAACATTAAAACACAAAATTATGCATCACTAATGAAAGCAACAACACCAGCTAAAACGCAGGTGAAACTCAGAAATGAGAATCTGGTTCAAAAGTTCGTTTGTGTCAGTAAATTAACTTCATAGGTGAAACTAATCTATGAGACAGACTCACAACATGCTAATCCAGATAATTCAGCCTTTATTTCTGTGATGATTAAGGCTTACAGCTGATGAAAACCCCACATTCATAACCTCAGACTGTCAGAATATTGTGAAAAGGTTCACTATTCTAGACTCAAAGTGTCACTCTAATCAGCTGATGGATCCAGAACTCCTGCAGAGGGTTCCTGAGCCTTTAGATGGTCTCTCAGTCTGAGCTGGATCACTGACATTGTTTTTCAATAGAAATATTTCATGTTCTTACTTTAGTATTTCTATCATAGAAATGAAAAATACTGGGTTGCCTTTTTGCTTTTATGCATTTTGGTTTTATTGCCTTTAGAAAACCTATATTGCATAAATAAGAAGGAGTGGAGTGAATACAGGTATTTTAAAATCTGCTTAAAACAGCTGTAAAGACAATGCATAAGAACACCGGTACACCTTAGAACAAAGCATTTTACAGATTTAGACTGAAAAGAAAAAACATGGCTGTGGCCACTAGTTCATAGAAAGACGTGTTTTTTTTTATTTTTTAGATATTTATTTAATTGTCTTTTTTTTTTTTTTTTTTTTTTTTTTTTACAAATTTGCTCCTTCAGGATATTTAGACCTTTTCATTAGATACTTCTATAGTTGGTGAGGTAGAATCATGAGGCTTTTTTTGACATTAGCCTTAGGTTGGTAGAAAAAGTCAACATTCAGTCCTGACTCACCTATCCTTCTCTAGATAATCCTTTGTCCAGATGCCTCAGAAGTCAGATCCTTGGACCTTTAACAGAACATCTGCCTGTATCTGATCTTTGAAAATTGGCTTCTTTACTGCCTTTCATGGCTGTCCACCAACTACCTGCTACCAGTCCTGAGCAGATCTGTCCTGCTGGAGCCCCGATCCCACAGATGGACCAGTTTAGAACATAGCCCTGGTGTTTTATGGAGTTTCGTAAGTATCCTAAAGTCTCTTAAATGCAGTGAAAATGGGCCTTTTGAGATTATGTTAATTTAGACTATGTAATAAATATTCATCTGATCACCCTTTAAACTGCCCTCATAAAAGCTGAAGTAGAAATCTTTGTAACATTTATTGTTTGCATTATTGTCCGAACTTTCAGTACACGTCAGTTTGTTTTGGTTTTAACTGAATTGCTAACAGAGCTTGTACGACTGACCCGAAGGTAGATCTTGGTGTCATGGCACATGTTTTCACCATTTGTGAGATTAAAGCTCTTCATCAGACTGGGCTGCTGGCTCTCCAGGAACAATGTCCTCCTGATGGACTCCTTCTGGTTCTGCTTCAAGCTGTCCAACTGTACCTCGACCACAAATCCTGAAAGATACATGTTAGAGATGTTCATAAGTCATTTTTCCAAGTCAGGTCTCATCTCTCTTAACAGATTCCTGCCATCTGGTCAGCCAGGAAAACTGGACTATGTTCTGCTTTTGCAACATCTGTGGGTTCAGCTTCTAGTCTGAGAAATGATAACTAATCAGCTGCAGACCAGTGATGTCTGAGGAAATTGTGGGGAGACTAAAGTCTGTAATTCACAATTTACTAATTATATAAATGAAAAACAATGTTCATTCATTTTTTTCTTTTCTAATCCAAGATTTCCTGTATATTCTCTACAGTAGAGCCCTGCACTGAAGCCCTAGGCCCTCGGGCCGGGCTTCGGGCCAACGGCTGTGTAATTACCTCGGACACGGGCCGGGCGCCTTTATTTTTAATCGAATTCATAAAAAAAAAATGAAACACTTAAACCAGGGGTCGGCAACCTGTTCCCATCAAAGAGCCATTATTACCCGTTTCCCACAGTAAAGAAAACACTGGGAGCCACAGCAGCTGCGGCGTTGTGGGCGGGGCCTACCCTCAGACAGCAGAGTGCTGCTCACAACAGGTGACAGCAGCCAGTACTGGTCGCTCGTGTACGTCAAAGTTATCTTTCATAAGAAGATAATCAATAAAACGATTTATATAAAGTGGATCCAGAAGCTGTAGCCCGTCTCTGCCTACAATATTTTGATATTTTTCACCGTTGGTGGTTTTACTGAGCAGGTGCCACTTTTGTCATACGATTCTTTTTAAAACATGTTTAGACTGTTCAGAATACAAATCCAGGCTCTGTCACGTTTGATTGTTGTAATTAAACTTTGTAGGTGGGGAAGGTCTGAAAAGGATCTGATCATTTTGTTTTTCCCTCATTTACAGTGACGGAGATAACGGCGCAGTGCGCCTGGCTCTGGTGTTAATCAAGTTTAATTTTATCTATTTTCACAAGAAAACAGAACAGTTAAAAGCAGGGCTTGTGTTGTGTTGACCGGACAGTTCCCGTTTTGACCGTTTATTTTGACGGAGAAAGAATAGAAAGAATTACCCCGACGCATGCAGACGAACTGACATTTTATTCTACACATATCGCAGATGTAGCTAAATCACCCAAGAAAAGATTCCCATCTGAACATCTGAGCTGGACACTGCTCAGCGCAGCTCGCTGTCAGCGTGTACTACATAAGGTCCACAGCGAGCTGAAGATGTGGAGAGGGGCTTGGAGCGCGTTGCAGAACCAGAGCGCATGACTGAATTCAGTCGGAGGAATCTTCCCGCTGATCAGAATCTGATGCGGCTCTCTGTACTTGTAAAATAATGAATGGATATTTAAATAAAATGCTTTATACTTTACTGAATTCATTTTATATCTTTAAGTCAATTCTATGTAAAGATTGTCTGCGTAAACCTGAACAGGCCCAACCCAGTCTTACTGTGAGACCGGGTTGATGGTCACGCTTGTGCGTAATCATAGGTGCTTCCTGAGCTGAAGAGGATGTGAGATTCTGGGCTTCTCCTCAGACAGCTCCTGGCCACATTGGAGACAGGAACAAGCACTATTCAGCCAAAGTTTCCCAATCAGGGAACATTTTCTAAGTGACAAGTCTCTCTGAGAGACAGGGTTTGGAAAACACTCGCTTCAGTGGGAGGAACCTTCCCGCATGCGCTCTGGTTCTGCGACGCGCTCCAAGCCAATCCCCACAACTTCAGCTCGCTGTGCACATATGCGCTGACAGCGAGCTGCGCTGAGAGTGTCCAGCTCAGATGTTCAGATGGGAATCTTTTCTTGGGTGATTTAGCTACATCTGCGATGTGCGTAGAATAAAATGTCAGTTCGTCTGCATGCGTCGGGGTAATTCTTTCTATTCTTTCTCCGTCAAAATAAACGGTCAAATACGGGAACTATCCGGTCAACACAAGCCCTGCTTTTGACTGTTCTGTTTTCTTGTGAAAATTGTTGGAAAGAGAGAAAATTTAACTTGATTACCACCAGAGCCAGTGCGCCGTCATCTCCGTGACGGTAAATGAGGGAAAAACAAATTGTTCGGATCCTGCACGTCTTTTAACACATTGGTCAGGATTGACGCACTTTGTTTTCATTTAGTTGGTTAAAAAAAAGCCAGGCTTGGGTCGGGCCAGAGAATCCTGAAAACCTTTTCGGACCGGGTTGGGCTGGGGCTCCACCCCCTCGGGCCGGGCCGGACATGGGCTCAGATTTTAGGCCCGTGCAGGGCTCTACTCTACAGGCTGCTAATGCAGGAATAGAAGTAGAAGACAATATTTTAGGGGTGGGGCTCAATTAAATAATACATATAGTTAATCTGAGGCTTTGTGATTAATTACTCTTGATTAATCATTTAAGATGATTTCCCCAAGCAATGTTTTTTTAATTAATGTGGCGTCATGAAGGGACTGTTTTCCACCTAAAGGTCCCCTCTCCTCAGGAAGAACTTATCTCCTTGAGATATGGCTCAAGGCCTTTTGATGCCTCTGCATCTTAACTGTTTTGACTAGCTATTTGACTCCCCCTACAGCTCAAGAGAAGAAAGAAGACCAAGAACTCTTTTCACTATTAAATAATAATCAAATAACTTTGTTAGTCCAAATAATCATGTAAAGCTCAATGTTAAATCAATCTGTGAAATGAGAATATTAATTACTTGATATTATACTCTTATGATAGTATTTTAATAAGTAATATAACTTTTAAACTACACACTAGACTGATTACACGTAATGTTAAAATCACATGGCACATTCCTTTGTCTCTCCAATCAGAGCTTTCCTTTCTGACTCGTGGCATGATCTGTGCGGTGCTTATTTTGTTGTCACATTCTGATTCGACCATAAATCAAAGCATCTGAATTATAAAACTAACTCACCCTTAACTCAGTTCAAACGTTCTAGAGTTGCGAGCCAGCCACTCGTAACTTTTTAACCACAAAGAACCTCGACCAGCTGGAAAATAAAACCTGTTGCAAGCTCTACCTGAAGCAACGCTCCTTCAGAGTAAAAGCTGAACTCACTGACCCCTCAGGGTCCCGCTGACGCTGTCAAACAACTGTCGCTTACCTGGAGGCAATCCCAAGACTAGTCTGTCGTACCGGACGCTGTTTCATCAGCTCCGGTACCAAAGGGGGGTCTGAGAACCTGGCATTCTGGATCTACAACGGAGGTCTCCATCAAAGGGTATGTCGCACAGCAAGATAGTGTCTGAATGTGGTTTTTGAAACTCCGACTATAGTTTAGAGCAAAACATTCGCTCCCACACAGAACTAACGCTTCTCCGGAAATGAGAGTTCTGATAACAACTTTCCACATTTACACCATCCATTTTGCCTCATTCACAACCTAGATCCATTCATCACATAGAGTGTTTAGTTAGTTAGCCTTCTCTCTCTCTCTCTCTCTCTCTCTCTCTCTCTCTCTCTCTCTCTCTCTCTCTCTCTCTCTCTCTCTCTCTCTCTCTCTCTCTCTCTCTCTCTCTCTCTCTCTCTCTCTCTCTCTCTCTCTCTCTCTCTCTCTCTCTCTCTCTCTCTCTCTCTCTCTCTCTCTCTCTCTCTCTCTCTCTCTCTCTCTCTCTCTCTCTCCTCTCTCTCTCTCTCTCTCTCCTCTCTCTCCTCTCTCTCTCTCTCTCTCTCTCTCTCTCTCTCTCTCTCTCTCTCTCTCGACTCTGGGTTAATTTGAAGTGTTACCTAATCCCTGCAATAAAAAGTTCCGATCTTCTGTTTAAAGGTAGTATTCAAAGATGCATCCAATTGATTCCATATTTTCTATTGAATCTCACCTTTGATGGTTTCTTACGTAAGATGTAACTATTGAACCACTACATTAAAAATAATGTTAGTGAGGCACACATACCCACACTTTAATGAGTATAAAAGATCTATTTCATATCTTTGGTCTCATTACAAAGGTAACCTTTGTGGGCTTTGGTGGGATGTATAAATATTAATATACGTGTTATTGATGGTGAAGGTTCTCAGTCATCCTGGTCATGGTAATCCAAAGGGTTCAAATGAAGGCAACTGGTTTCAAGAAACTAAAGAAGTCCAGGTGCCTTCATTTGAACCCTGTCATGACTCCCTGTCTTTCACCCTCCTCTGCCTCCGCTGACATAACCTGTTTCCACAGCAACCTCAGCCTGCACCTCATCAACTTCATTCATCTCACTGGTTCCTGTCATCAGCTCATCCCACACACTTGCTCCCTCTGCTATTTAACTCCCAGCCTGCTCTCCAACCAGTGCCAGATTATTGAACTATCTTTGCCAGTAAATCTTCCAGCCTTTCACATTGCCTGATCTCAGCCTCCAGACCTCGTTTTCACGCCTGACCCCTGCCTTGAACTCTGCCTGCCACCACGACCCTCGCCTGTCTTCTACCACGTCTCCAGTCTGTTCCATGTACCTGCTCGTCCCGATCTGGTTTTGATCCACGCCTCCTCTCCGACTCTGTCTCCTGCCTCGCCCTCTTTGGTATAACGTCACATCTAATGAAGACTTTTTATTTAACTTTTTACTGTGTTTGGTGTCATCACGGGTCTTCCAAGTTCTGAACGTGACAAACCCTTTGGATTATGTGTGTTACTGATGAAGTTTAAATGGACATATAACATTGTAAATGTTGTGTACTGAACTGAACACTAGGTGGCAGCAGAGCACTGCTAGTATATATATATATAGAGAGAGAGAGGTGTAGTGTGGAGTTCAACAGAAGCTCTGCTGTGGTGTTATAAGACGAATGCTGTGTGTAAGCTACTCCCTCCTGCAGTAATCACATTTATATGGATAAAGGTACTGCTGACGGCTTTCTACCAGCTATAAAACATATTAGATTTCTTTTCTTCATGAAAAGCAATTTGTCATGACTCATTTAATTGTAGTTTTAGTTGTGTTTGGAGCACGTAAAAAATGGCCTTGTAGCTCTGGCTCGGCTGTCCTTTCAGATGTGCACCTTGATATTTATTTATATATAGGGCATAAATTGTGATGCTAAACCTTTTCAGCCCCCAATTGGAGGCGCTCGGGCTCCAACTTTATTTTTTAACACAATTTTTTTCTAATTATTAATCCTAATAAACGCATTGAAATTTCACCCCTACAATTTTTACATTTAGCCTGAATGTTAAACTTGGAGCGACCGATCATATTTCAACAAGAATGCGTAAAAAAGTTTCTTTTTAAACTTGTCCTTTAATGCAAATTTTAAAAAAGGAACTGCGTGCTGCAGTAAAATCAGCAGAAGGCCACACAGACTGAAACCTTCGCCACTGACCAGCGTTTGGTTTTAAAATCTAAATGAACTTTTAAAAAAGGGAGACAAACAGCAGAAATGGCAGCAGAAAGAGACTCGCGCTAAAACGAGAGATATGGGAATGCTAAAACAAAAACCAGAGTCTTCCTTTTTGTGATCTATAAGTCCAGGTCTCAGATTTGTGTCAGCATCATCTGAACAGCCGTTACACAAAACATGGAAGTCAGTGCACGCATGATCACACAAACAGACATTTATCAAAGACAAAGTTTTGTCACCACATGCTAATGCACACATGTACAGACGTAACGGTTTTCACCGTCTTAAACAAAGTTTAAATTTGCTGTTTGTTTCTACAGCAGATTATAACACATGAAGAGCATCACAGCAGAACGCATGACAAAAAGCTGCAGAGACGAAGGACAAACAGCCCCAAACTTTAGACACACACACACACACACACACACACACACACACACACACACACACACACACACACACACACACACACACACACACACACACACACACACACACACACATTTTCTAAACCCTACCTCGTATTTACACGATTGCTCTTTTATCTTGATCCTAACTGCCAAATTGACCACAGAGAAGGCCACCATACTTGTGGCTTAACAACAAAAGCAAGGTAATGGCAACCATGTGTGTGTGTGTGTGTGTGTGTGTGTGTGTGTGTGTGTGTGTGTTACCTAGTGGAGTGGAGAGGTGTTTCCCATGAGCCAACAGGCAGAAACTGATGCTGACACTGGAGATTTAACACAGACAGAAGGATAAATATTATCACCGCTGAACAAATACAGTTAATGAGTCTTTTGACTGTGTTGTAGATGAATCTGTGTTTATTTGAAACTTTATTTAAAGTTGCATTCTCTTAGAAATAGGTATTTTGGGTAATGTGCCCCTTTTGGTAGGTAAGATGTGTCCAAACAGGTGATTTATTTCAATCAAACTCCGCCTCCCCATGTGAGTTCCACAATAACACACAGGAGCATATAGACCGCACAATCACACCGTCATGTCCCACCCAGCTCCGTTTTCACTTTACCTCAGTTCATCTAAAACAAGTTTGAGGCCAGATAAGGAAGCCTGACACCATGCAACAATTTTACCTTCTTATAGTCTATGTCTGATTTAATATGACGATGGGTTCTTCTTCTTTCCTATTAGTGACCTAACTGACCTGACTGTATGCCTAGGATCCTCTGTCACTCCAGTTCTCACAGTTCAGCCCCTCCCAATTAATCAATGCTAATCCAGTCTCTCATCTCTCTCTTTCATTTAAACAATAATGTGTCTAATTCCGAGACCATAGTCTTGAGTCGCAAAAGGCTAGAATGACTTCTCTGGGGATGAGGTCCTGCCTCAAGTGGAGGAGTTTAAGTATCTCGGGGTCTTGTTCACAAGTGAGGGAAAGATGGAGCATGAGATCGATAGGCGGATTGGTGCTGCATCTACAGTGATGCGGGCGTTGTGGTGAAGAGAGAGCTGAGCAAAAGGCAAAGCTCTCAATTTACCGGTGGATCTACGTTCCTACCCTCACCTATGGTCATGAGCTTTGGGTAGTGACCAAAAGAACGAGATCACGGATACAAGAGGACCTAAATACGTTTTCTACGCAGGGTGTCTAGGCTTTCCCTTAAAGATAGGGTGAGAAGCTTGGGCATCCGAGAGGGGCTTGGAGTAGATCTGCTGCTCCTCCACATCGAGAAGAGCCAGTTGGGGTGGCTCGGCCATCTGGCCAGGATGCCTCCTGGGCACCTCCCTGGTGAGGTTTTCTGGGCACGTCCAACTGGGAGAAGACCTAAAGGAAGACCCAGAACATTGCCACTTACACACTAGCATCAGCTCCACCCCGCTCCACCCCGCCCGCCCCAGCCCGGCCGTGTTTGTTCCACACTGCATTAGGAAAGCAGACGTGATTGAGTACACGGGTGGTCTGTGATGTCATGAGCATATGTTGGAACATGTGGGCGGGGCAAAAGAGCGTGGAGAAGTCTGCGGTGTCTCCATAATTAAACAAAAGTGGCCTGAGCAGTCTTGCTTTTGGAGACTCTGACTCTGATACTGCATTCTGCTTTACTGTGTATGGCAGCACTGTGTGTGTGTGTGTGTGTGTGTGTGCGCGCGTGTGTGTGTGTGTGTGTGTGTGTGTGTGTGTGTGTGTGTGTGTGTGTGTGTGTGTGTGTGTGTGTGTGTGTGCGTGCGTGTGTGTGTGTGTGTGTCTCCTCACAGGCTCATTAACTCCACAGCATCCAGAAGGATAATGAATCGCGCATGCGGGAAGCCTCTGCGGGCTGATTCTGTCTGCCAATTGGAGGCTCCCCCTAATGGTAGGTGTGTTTTTAAGCCGACCAATCAGTCAGCAGTGGGCGTGTCTGCCCTGTTCGGCTCCAGGCAGACCTTCTTGAGAAGAGGGCTGAAAAGACGTCCGGTTGAGTGCGGTAAAATGCAAGGCTACCTGAATGAGAACACTCCTAACCCGGTCCAGGCGGAGTGGAGCTGATGCTGGTGTGTAAAGGTTGGTTTATGCTTGACGCGTCCGCGAGGTCCGCACGGCTCCGTGTGGAAAAGTTGCGTCATTTTGCGTCATTTTAACAACCACGCAACTCCACCTCGCCTCCGCACGGCCCAGAATTTCCGCAACGCGCACCTCGGAAAATTTCTAACCACGCGGACGGACGGACGCGGAAAAACATGGCGGACTGGCAAGAACTAGTGTGGCAGAGGTTCGTCAATACAGACATTTGTATGATTCAGCTCTCAGAGATCACCGTGATCAACATGTTGTTAATAATTCTTGGAGAGAAATAGCTCGCACTGTCGGAAAAGTCGAGAACGCTGTTAAAAATGCTGAAATGCCATGTTGTAAACAGTCATTTCTACTTCTACTATGGTGTAGTGTTGGATGCATGCCGTAGAGCTCCATGCTGCCCCCTACAGTTTGGGAGAATATTGGCTCACTGCAGAGACGAGCCGCACGAACCATAAGCACTGCGAGTTGTGAAGCGCGTTCCATCCACGAGCCGCATCACCAAGCGGAAAGTGAATGCGTCAAGCATAAACCAAGCTTAAGGGCCATATGTCCCTCGGCTAGCCAGGAACGCCTTGGGATTCCCTTGGAGGAGCTGGCCCAAGTGGCTGGAGAGAGAGATGTCTGGGACTCCCATAGGCTGCTGCCCCCGTGACCCGACCCCGGATAAGTGGCTGAGAATGGATGGATGGATAATTAATGTGATTAGTTTGGAGATGTATTTTCATTAACTCTGGGTCAAGGTGGACGACCTTCCTCAAGTGGAGGAATTAAAGTAACTCAGTGTTTTGTTCTTGTAAAGGCAGTTAGAGATGCACAATCTGGGCTTATCTCGAGCTGCTGCCCTCATGACTCAAAACCAATACGAGGAAGACGGATTGCTCATGGAGCTTCTGCATCTTTCTCTCAGCTCCTTCCACCTTCTTGTTTCAAAGGCAGAAAAAATGCCAAGAAGCTCCTAAGCAAGACTTGCTTGTTTTACCGTAACGAGCTGACATTAAATTGCCAGCCAGTTGGGCAAACACCCCAAGGCACATTAAAAATGTTCCACCTTCACGCAGATGATTAAACTAAAACTGTGGACGGACATCCACTGAGTTCTGAAACTAAGTTGTGTAGTTCAAAGCAGCTCAGAAGGAAAACTGGCAGCAATGAAGTCCTTTCTCTTCAGAGAAAAGGTTTGCGACAGTGGCCTGCATCACATGTTGGACCACACAGGTGGACAATAGGCTTTTAAAGGAAAACAGCTGTAGTCCGTACCAAGACACAGAAATGGTTTTATTCCCTTTGATCACCAGGCAAGTCGACTCCTCTTGGTTGAACATGGCTGGCTGCACTGAGAGAGATGCGGTGGCGCTCACTATTGGTCGAGATCTAAGAGATGAAACAAAACAAAATCAAATGAATGCTTTAAACATTTAACTGGTCAGCGTGTATTCGTACCTGTACAGCGCAGCCTTGTCGGACCCGAAAGCACCAACAATCAGATCTGCAAAAGTAAAGAGGGGCAGATGAAGACACCAGAGGAGATGTGAATCGGATGCTTAATATTGAAGCATTTTCTTTCGTACCTGGGTAACCGTTCTGATCAACATCTCTGTTGCCTCTGACTGAAAAGCCAAAACTTGCAGGGAAAGAGCTGGAAGCCCACTGGCCAGAAAGAGTCTGAGTAGGCACATCCTTCAGTCCTCCAGTGTGACCGTTATAGATGAAAACCAGTCCCTGCTGGTTCTCACCACCATAAGGACAGCCAATTGCCACATCTGATTTTAAAACACAACAAAACAAGGCACCAAGTCCATTTATGTGTTTGTTATGTTTTAGTTTAGGTCACAACTTTATTAATCTACAAGGCATTGCAAAGATCTATGATACTTAACCTGAATTATGACTGAAGGCAAAAATATTCAAAAGCTAGTGAAGCTATACTCTCTTTGTTAATGTAGGAAACGCTGATCCACTTCATCTGGGAACGACAGGAAGTAAACAAATCCAGGAAATCACATCGAATGATTTTTAAATAATTATTTGTAAAATGGTGCAGAAATTAGGGCTGCACGGTGGCGCAGTGGTTAGAGTTGTTGCCTTGCAGCAAGAAGGTCCTGGGTTCGCTTCCCCGCCTGGGATCTTTCTGCATGGAGTTTGCATGTTCTCCCTGTGCATGCGTGGGTTCTCTCCGGGTACTCCGGCTTCCTCCCACAGTCCAAAAACATGACTGTTAGGTTAATTGGGTTGTCTAAATTGTCCTTAGGTGTGTGTGTGTGTGTGTGTGTGTGTGTGTGAGATTGTTTGTCCAGTGTGTCTCTGTGTTGCCCTGCGATGGACTGGCTCTCTGTCCAGGGTGTACCCCGCCTGATTGCCCATTGACCGCTGGAGATAGGCACCAGCCCCCCGCGACCCTACATGGACAAAGCGGGTTCAGAAAATGGATGGATGGATGGATGGAGCAGAAATTGAGTATTTAGCTCCAACAAACAAGCAAGAATTCTGTTACTTATTCTATCAGAAACTCTTCTATCCTCCACTCATTACTTGTACTAATGGCACCTGTTTGAACTTATCTGTATAAAAGACACCTGTCCACACCTTCAAACAATCAGACTCCATCCTCCACTATAACCAAGGCCAGAGAGGAAAAACATTGTACACCTGCACAAGCCTGGGATGAGCCAATCTTCAATGGGCAAGCAGTTTGGTGAGAGGAGATCAACTGTTGGAGTAATTATTAGAAAATGGAATAAATACACAAACCCTGACAATCACCCTCAACCTGGGGTTCCATGTAAGATCTCACCGTGTGGGGCATAAATTATCTTGAGAAGCATGAGGAAAAAGTCCAGAACTACATGGGGGAAATTACCTGAGGAGAGCTGGGGCCACTGGGGGGTTCCACCAGCAATACTCAGCATGAAGCAGATGGGTTTGGTTCGATTGGACAGCCTTTACCAACAGCACGGTTCTGTTTGTTGTGATTCCTAGTGTGCTGACCCAGTCTGAATGTCAACAACTGTCGGCCACTGTTTGCTACAGAACTTTCTGCCTGTAGCCGTTTCCAGGTTCAGAGTCAGTGAAAAGAAGCCAGAGACTGAGCAGAACGTTCAACATCACTGACATTGTGTTGTGTATGTGTGACTAACACACTCTTTGCTGATCACATCGATCTACTTTAGTGTCGAGTTCAGAATGAGAGTGCCGTGGGTGGAAACTTTATGCTTTTAGGGCTACTTTTCTGCAAAAGGGACAGGACAACTGATCTGTATTTAGCAAAGGATGAATGAGAGATCCTTCCCTCAGTTAGTGAGAGCAGTGAAGTTGAAACGTGGCTAAATATTCTAGCATGAAGATGATGCTAAACACACCGCCCAGGGAACAAAGGATTTGAAGGTTCTGGAGTGGCCTAGCCAGACTTCAGACCTCCATCCGTCAGGTCGACTGTGGAAAGAGTTGAAGGTCTGTGTTGCCCAGGGAAAGCCCCAAAATACAACAGCTTTAGAGATGATCTGTATAGAATAATGGGCCAATATACCAGCTACAGTGTGTGTGTAAACTTGGTGACGATCAACAGGAAACATGTGGCCTCTGTTTTGCCAACCAAGGCTACATTATAAAGTACTGAGGTGAACTTAAGTAATTGCCCAAATATTTATTTTCTTCATCACCATACAAATACACTCTTTTAAAAATCTAAATGTTGTATCCTGGATTGTTTTTTTTACTTTCTGACTCTCCTTTCTCTTATCTTTATAATCACATTAACAGAGAAAAAGTTGCACATGTACCGTTGAACCCATCCTGGTTGAGATCACCCAGTGGAGCCAAGGAGGTGCCAAATCGGCCAAAGGCCTGTGGGCCGAGAAGTTTGTGCTGGCTCTGCCTGAGTAGCAGAGGCCCCCTCTGCAAGTACACGTAGACCTGACCCAGCTCCTCCAGATGCCCGTCAGTCCCACGATGCATGAACATCGGAGCACCCACAACAAGGTCATCAAAACTGGTGAAGAGACATGAGTTAAGGTCATCTACTGGACATTTCATTGGATGGAGTAGTAAATGAAGAACTTTGCCTAATGACTCTGTTCCTTCTTCAGAATGACCCAACAGCAGATGAAGTCCAGGGCCCTTGTTTATCAACCATACTTGCGCACAGATCTGTGTGTGTGCTATTTATCATCTTACTTGTGTGTAGAAATGTTCCTAACAATAAGAACAGCTCTGACTACGTGAACAAACATCTAGTGGTAGAATAACCCCCAAATTCCACTACCTCCGCTCCGGTCCGCCCCCGCCTTCCGCAGCCACTCGCTTCCGAACTCAATTTTTACTGGTACCCGCTCTACAACGGCTCCGCTCCGGTGCGGAGACCTGAGGTGGGCAAACAAGCATGCGCAGGATTTTCGAGATCTTGCGATACAGTCCGAGCAATAAACGCGGAAGTTAGATCCAAACACCCGTTGTGTGGGAGAAGCATCAGCATGAACTGTTTAATCTGCCCATCATTTGTGTTGAGAGATCAGCAGTGTTTGGATCAACAAAGTGTGACTACTTTGATAGTAGAAACTGTATTTATGGCTTACTTTTGTGCATTTAAACTTCAGCCGCCATTGATAGTTGTTAAAAGTTGTTAAACCTGTGCATATGAAACAAAAAACGCCTTTTGTTTATCGATTTATTGTGAAAAACGGAAGTTGTGCTTGCTCCTTTTCCTGTTGGGCTGTTGTGATTTCTGTCCATTTACTGCGGAGGTGCTCCGGCGTCCGGCGAAAATAGGATCGATTCTATTTTTGCCGGACGCCGGAACAGAGGGCGGCGCACTGCCGGAGCACGGCCGCAGTAGTGGAATTGCTCTGATTGACTACAACGGGACCGATTTTGCTCCGGCGTTCGTGTCGGAACGGAGGTAGTGGAATTTGGGGGTAAGGGAACCGCATTACTGAGGGTCTCGGTGTCCCTCACAAATAGTTTTTACCCAATAAGTGAGTATGTCTGTGGAGAAACGTCTTTACTGCTGTTAGAACTGGTGAACCCTGGGCTGAGAGAACTTCAGTGTATGCTGAAGGTTATGTTGTGAAGGCAAAAACAGAATCACGTCATCTGCAAAAAAAACTGCGCGTTTCCAAAACCAGACTCACTCCCCTCCATGAGTAGATCAGAGGCACCCCGGGTGGACTCCAACTAACTCTGGGAATGCGCCTAACCCAGTGATGTAGAGTTTGTGCTTTGGTTATCAAAGCATCATGCTCCTTGACCCAAACAGAAGCCACACTGCTCCTATTCAATCTGAGACTCAGTTACCAGTCAGAGCCCCTAGAGCATGGGTGTACAACTCCGGTCCTGGAGGGCCGGTATCCAGCACGTTTTAGTTTTAACCCTGTTTTAAAACACATGATTTCAATCAGCAGGTGATTACGAGGCTTCTGCAGAGCTGATGAGAGCTGCTGCACAGGTGATTCAACCACTGAATCAAGTGTGTTGGAGCACAGACTAAAATGTGCCGGCTACCGGCCCTCCAGGACAGGAATTGAATATCCCGGCCCTAGAGGATGTTTTTCAAGGAAGGCTAAGAAGAACGCTTCACTACTTGGAAAACTCTCCAGTAGCTCTGATTGAAAATGTTGAACACCACCTCGTCTGGCACTCTACAGGAGGTGTTCAGTAAGTAGAATGTTAAGCTGACAGTTCTAAATGTGTTAACAGCGCAGAAGGAGTGGAGATGTTCTGACAAATATTACTTATGAAGATGATTACACCGGTGCTGCTTCACCAGACCTGCACACACATCTAGTCCATTTAGTTTCGCCACCATCTGTGTCACCATGATCCCCTCCACTTACCCGTCCTTGTTGATGTCAGTGACCGCCACTGCGTAGCCAAAGTAAGACCCCATCTGGAATACATTTCAAACAGGACCAAGTTAGCCTGTAATCACACCATGGTGCACAGATCCTTTTCTTTTTTCATTTTCCTCCTCTTGTGCTTTTCATCTTCTGTCCCCTCCACCACCACCACCACGCCAGAAGCTTTGCTCTCGATCTCTCAATCCCACAATCCCCCAGAGTCTCTTTTTCTCCTTTTTCATGGAGCTCAATATTAAATCCTCTGCAAACTTGAAGAACTTCAGGGGGTCTAAAGACTGAGACCAGCGATCATTTGAAAGCACCGAGAGGATTGCTCATGGACTTTTTTCTCAGTTCATTCCCCACCATAAATGATGGATAAGGAATATATTATGTTCGCTTTGCACATGCTGTGAAGAATAATACTGAACACTGAAAAAAGTGGGAAACAAAACGGAATCATTGGATTCCAAACTGAATTAGAACATGCTAAAAGGCATTAGATAGAAAAATGCTACCTGTTAACCTCTTAAAGGTTTTAAATGATTTAAAAGGAGCAACTTCCACTCTGTAATGGTTCCAGTTCAAAAAGCACAACATCAACACTGTTTTACCTTCGTCTTCTTCTGGTTTTAATTGGAAATCTTTAGAAACCTTGAGTGGTGCACACTGTAAGCCTGACCTCCGACCCCACTATAGCCATCCCTCTCACCATGGGGGCAAATTCCTTCCTCTCCAATCTTTGGTAGGTAATGCTACGGTAAATGTGCCAGAAAATCCTCCTCCAGATGTGCACGTACCTGCTCCCCAGTCAAGTTCAGCAGAGAATTCAGATCCCTCCCATTTAAGATGGACACCTAGGGTAAGAGAGACAAACTGGGATTAACCAACCAAATCCTTCACAAAAACACTGGGACCATTGTAGATTACAGGAATATCTGGCTATAGTTTTGGTGTGAAAAGTTGCAGATGACAAGAAGGAAGCTCCTTACTAAACCATACAGCATGAGTCCTTTTGGAACTCCTGTGATGAAATCTGTGAGGAGACAAGCGAGAGGCAAAAGCAAACTTTTTTATTTTCATTCTTCAGGCTTCTAAGTGCTCCTGCTTCCTGGAAGGTTTAATAATCCCCTTCCGCTACAACATAAACAAGTGCGCTGAGACCGTGCAGCAATCTGGACTCAGCCAAGCATTTTGGCTCTCTGTGTTGTAAATATGACCCTCACCTTCCTCGCTGTCCCCACTGAACTCCCCACTGGTGACAGAGTAACCTGGAGCAGAGACGTGGAGGGAAACAGGAAGTCAAAGAGCAGACATTGGGTTTGATCCCTGTTCAGACCAAGTTTATTAGAAAAACACATCGAAGCGATATATTTGACTCCGCTTTACTGGTTGATAGTAAAATGCTTGTGAGCTTTATTACTTTACTTGAACATTGATCTGTTACTGCAAGAACATGTTAGATGTCAACATTACCTCCAACATGAAGGTAAAAGTCTGGTTCTGGTGTATCGAAAGAGTAACAATGGCGTAGGAGATATGGGTTAAATCAAGCCTTCACTTCCAGTTTTACTAAACAAGTCAGAACCCAGAGATGAACAAATCCAGGGGAACCTGAGATAAAAAGTCCTGCAGCAGTGAGAGACGCCGACAAAAGTAGGAACATGTCTGATGTTTGCTGAACAGGAAGTGGAAAGACATTGTTCTGTTGATGTACAAGAACGTTCAATGGAAATCTGCCCGGTGAGTTATGACGCGCAGCATCTTGAGACATGTCATGAGTTATGCACATGCTGGTAATAAACCAAAGGAAAGGTCCAGAGGAAAGACTTCGGCAGCTCATTTCTGAATTAAAGATTCATCTTTAGTTTTCTGGGTGAAAGTTGACAGTTTGGGATGAGGATGGGATCTATTTTTAGAGAGTTGGCTGTGGAAAGGACACAAACCCCAGGAGTCATGGACGAAGTCAGAAAAAACAGAAAAACTGGACATCATTGAAGTCCTTTTCAACAACATTTTGATGGATATTTCCAGAGATTAACAGAATAAACTGCACATTTTCTCTTTAAGTCTGGAGTCCCTAAACTGCTAATTAGAGTCAGAGTTCAAGTCTGTTTGAGTTAAGTCCACAATCTTTAAAGGGCAAGCCCGTGTCAAGTCTGAAGGTTTTAGTCAGCGAGTCAGAGACTAGCCGGGGCTTTTTGGAGCAAAGTCCACGTAAATGATCAGGTCTTAAGAGGGTGAGTTAGAGTCAAATCCTGAGTCATTAAAAGGTGAGTCCAAGTCTGGAGTGTTTAGAGAGTTAGTCTGAGTCAGGGATTGAGTCATCAGAGTGCAAAAACACCTCCAGTTGAGTCTTTTTAAAAGGAGCTTAATCAAGCCTGGATTAGAGACTGGCCAAGTGGACAGGTCGGACATCTTCAAGGGCTGTGTTGAAGTCAAGCCCCATGACGTTGTTTGCCCTACGTATGAGCAATTTGAATCCAAGTGTCACTCGAGTCCCAGTCTCTGGCTGACAGTTCTGGACTCGGACTCAGCTCTGGACCTGATGCACAGGTGTGGATGTTTAATAGCTACCTGTCAAGCCTCATTAACTTCATTAACAGATACATGTTTGGATCAAGTTGCTCACTCACCCAGGTAACTGTCATCGTAGCTTCCCTGCACCTGCTGGGTCTGAATCTGCCCGGCGACCGACAGCAGGAAGTAGGAGGGATAGTAGGCTTTAACAATCTCCTCTGTGGAGGCTGAGATCAGCTGGCCTACACATGGAGCATGTTTCAGCAGATTAACAGAGGACAATGAAAGCTTCAGCTTCTGTCTGTCAAATGAACAAAAAGCTGTTTTGGAAAATTCTGAAATATTCTCCTCTGGCCGCACCTTGCCAATAAAAGCTGCCAGGTCCTCCAAGCACAACTCTCCCATCCTGTGACACACAGCAGTAGCAAGAACTCAGACAGTGTCTGAATGAGGGGATAAAGCTCAAATATTTCTGCTACCTTGGTGAAGTCGGCGCTGAACCCCCCTTGACAATAGCCCTGTCCAGCAGGGCCGTGTCTTTCTGCAAAGACAAACACCAGAACACGGGTAGCATCCATGAGCGTGTTGGTTAAAAAAAAAAAACGTCAGTTAGCTAGTAGGCTACTGTGTGTAGCGGTAATTTCACCCGTTCGACATGGGGCAAATTCCACAAAGGTCTTGAGGCTGTCAACAGAGAGGTAGCAGGTTCCAGTAACATCTGAAAATGGTACGTCGTGTTCTGTCCTCCAGGAATATCTAGGAGCACACGCCTGATGGGAGGAAGAGGACGACCGTTAGGAGGAGAAACTTTGGGTTGACCTATAGGAATAAATCTGCCAAAGAAATCAAAAGTCTGAGTTTCAAAGTCTTTTCAGACAATTCACAGACTCGTGTCTGAATAGTCAACACGTTCTCACTCCCAGCGCGTCAAAAACAAACGCTTGGTCAGCCACCTTCCACGTCAGACCCCTGATGCCAAAAGTGCCCTTTTTCGTTACTTATGTGCAAAAAGGGGTTTTCCCCTTATTTGACTGCAGATCCCAATGCAGTGTAAAACTGAAGCGATGGGATGTCCGCAGCCAGGGCACCGAACCAGCTCATTGTACCTCACCTTAACCTTATCCTCTTATTTAACCTTCCCCTCACCGCTATCCTAACCTTAACCATCTTGCCAGCGAACACGTTGGTGATGTGTCGATCGCTCTAAAAGTCGGCTCTATGAAGTGAACGGCGGGAGCCGCCTCGTGATTGGTCGAGTTTGGACCGAGCCAACGCGAGGGGGAGGTTTCAACTACCACGGTGGAAGTTAAAAGTAGAGGGTATGTGTAATCTCCCTCTCGCCAGATGGTACGTTCTAACGTTCCTCTTGGGCGGCAAATACGAAAATTCACAGTCAGACTCTGACTGTCAGAGTCAGAATGCAGGGGAAACAAACGCTTGATCGCAGTGAGAGTAACGTTTTAGGTAGCAAGAGGGTTAAGGTTAGGATGAGGGAGAGGGGAAGGTTATAAATAGCGAAACGTTAAGGTTTAGGTGCGGTTAAACGAGCTGGTTCGGTGCCGCATCAGCGGATATCTAATCATATCAGTTTTACGCTGCATTGGGATCTGCAGTCACAAAAGGGAAAAACCCCTTTTCACACATAAGTAACGAAAAAGGGCACTTTTGGCATCTGGGGTCTGACGTGGAGGGTGGCTGACCAAGCGTTTGTTTCCGACGCTTAGGGTGTGAGAATGTGTTGGAATAGTGGACAGATCTGGACACCCTTCACCTGTTTATGTAAAAGAGAAAACATCCGTGGAGGTTGTGCTGGTTTCCTGGGAGGGAGCATCATTCGCTGATGTGGAATAACCCCTCAAATCGAGACAAGGCCCCACAGAATGCCCAGATATCATCAGATGTAGATGACGTTTTTGTTTTTTGATGCAAGAAATTCCCCTTTGCTGTCCTTAGTTATTGTGGTCATTGTGGCGAGGGCTACAGGCATATTTTCATTGGTTTTTACAGCAAAGTGAAGAAATGAGAAAAACTTGGACGTCAATCACGCTTTCAAAATTCAGATTTTAAAATTTTCACTAGCCATAGAGACTGTTTACTAATAATCCTGACAAAAACAAACACAAACTGACCACTTATGGGAGTAGTCTTACCAAGATGTTGTCACCACGGGAACGCACAGTCGCTCCAAACCACTGATGGGATTTGAACTCAACCTGAGTGTTGACGTCATTTATGTAAAAATACTGATCGCCTGTAAAGAAAACAGGAAAAGCATTTTAAACGCTGCAAGGACGGAGGTTTCCATCGCAGCTCACGACTGATTTTTACATTGTCAGGTTTGGCCATGTGTTGGGACTTCATAAGAATATTTTACAGTCTTGTTTCAGAGCACTGCCAGCTCAGTCTGCCTACCACATCACAGCTGACATCAAACAGACACTCGGTGTTACTGTAACCCAAATGGCTGAACTTTATAGTCCCAGTCTGTTTTTAGAAGGAGGCCCTGCAGTAATGATGGAGAGAGATAGCAGGACTTCTGGAACACACGTATGAAAGTCTGCCTTACTGCCTGCAAAACACATAAATTCAGCAACTTGAACAACATTTTAAAGATTTGCTACTTTTATTTTCCTGGAAAGCGTGACCTGGCTTCATCTAACAGCTGAATGAGAATGTTTGCCTTTAGTCCATGTGGTAAAAATGTCAGTTTGTTGTAAAAAACTTCTGTAGGGCCTAACTGTAAGATTTATACTTTTACACGTGCAGAGCTTCGGTAGCAGATTGGTAGCATTAAATGCAAATGTTAACATATTAATTCAAATTTAATAGCAATAATTGACCATATTTAGCTCCCCATTAAAATAACTTTTCACTATAAAGTTTTTTTTTACACTTTAAGCCCTTTATTTAGTTTCAGTGGTTCTTCAGCCAGAAAGTTCCACAACCCTGTGCAACACTCTGTAGCTCTCTGCTGACCACACACAGTTTTGTGTAGAACACTAGTGAGGTCTCTACTTTACGACAACAGCTGTTTACTGTGCCGGTGTCGGTACAAGATCTGCTCGGGTGTAAGATCGGCTCGGGGTCCTTCGACTGCCGATGACGTCAAAGTACGGCAAACCCACTCGGACAAAATACACATCTATACTGTTGGAAAGAATTTAGCAGTTTTGTTATTAAAATAATGTTTCTTAAGACCTAAGTTTGTGTTTATAATGGTATTTGTAAAATAAAACACTATATTGTATTCATAATGTTGAACTCCTCTTTGAGCACATCCCTTGAAGGATCATAGGTATTAGCAACATCTGTGAAATTGTATTTGCAGGAAAGAAGTGTGTCCCGTTTATTGAAGTATTTTGAGTTTAGAGTTTGTGACGTCTTGTCAATGCGTAGTTCGGTTACGCCAAGCCCCCACAATGCGGGTGAAAAATTGAGGCAAACCTGGAAATGAAATAAATTGCAGTTCCACCCTCATCCACTAGGGGCTGGTGTCAGAAGCGAGCAAATCCTCATTGACTCCCATGTTAAAAATACCAAATTCACAGCAGAAATAAACATGTTCACAGCCTGGTACCAAAACATGTTTTATGTTTAAATGATCCAGTTTACACTCATGACAACTCTGAGGGGGGTGAATTTTTTTCTCACTCTTCTGTTTAAGTGTATTAAAAGCCTAAAATTCTGTATAATTAATGAGCATCCGACCCACGTGACCACAGAGCTAGCTCCAGGGAAAGGCCTCAGTAGAGCCTTGGTCTGGCCTCGAAACTGTTCGGTCATTTTCAGTCTCTCAACTTAGACCATTAGTTGTAGCGTTTGTGTATTCTTTTTTGGATATTATTTGTGCAATTGTTGGACAAAATGACTTGCTGTGGCATTAATTGCACTAATAGAGCGACCAAGGAGTCTTCACTTCATTTTTTTCGGTAAGTAAAATTATATTTATGTATTTTAGGTCAGTGCCGAGCTGAGCTTAGATTTTAACATGTACTGTTTAACCATGAAATTTAAATGTAATAGGGTAAAACCCAGTGCATTTAACATAATGCTGCACTTTAGAAAATGGGTTGAAATATAACATGTCGGGGGAGCTGGGTTCCGACTATCGGCTTGTGGAGCTCTCGGGAGACCGACGTTTTCCACCCGGTTCTCCCCTCCCCGCAGCTCGGCGCATCTCTGTCTGATCGCGGCTTCTCTCTGCTACGCGGGCTGCCGGCTTGTGGAATTCTGGGATGGAAACCTTTCCACCCGGTTCTCCCCAGCGGCAGCTCTGCGCATCTCAGATCGCAGCGGCACTTGTCTGCTGTGCGGCTGCCGGCTTGTGGGGGTCTCGGAGACCTCTGTGTTCCACCCGGTTTTACCCAACGGTCAGCCCGGCGTATCTCTGACTCAGAAGCTCTGGTGTTGTGCACAGTTAACTCCGGGTGTAGCTAGGTTGCTACCTCCGTTAGCTTAGCTCCCACCTCCGCGTTAGCTTTGGGTTAGCTTCAGGTTAGCTTGTAGCTAGTTCGACCGGGTGTCGTCAGTTGATCCCAGCCTTACAGCCCCACCCTCAGCTACACCTCTCTTCCCTTTTGTGGAATTGTCTGGGCTTGACGGAACCTGTGACATGGTCAAAATGGCGGTGGTGGCCACCTCCCATTTCTCTTCAAAAATGTGTTATTGGAGTCTATGGAAACCCATTGTCCAATATTTATATGTCGATGGGTTACGCTCATAGCAGCTATAGCCAAAACTCTGGAGTTAAAAGTTTTCTGGCTTTACTAAAATACCTGTCTGTACTTATTTGATTGATGGTAGTTTTACTTTCTATTAGACTCCAAATGTAATCATTTGGCACGTTTCTAATTCATAATTTGTGACAATGTAATCGGTGATATTAGCATTAGCATTCCTATGGGTTTTTCCATGTACATTAGCATTGCGCTAACCATTCGCTGCCAAATTGCAGCCTTTGCGATTAGAAAATCTCCTTTTGTCACATCGCAATTTAATTGCACATGCAGTTAATCGTTCAGCCCTAATATACATGCAGCTTTATGCTAAAAGTGTATTTTCAAAGAGGTAATGATGGATTTCTTTGTAAAAGTTGTTCATCTTTCCAACAGAAAAATTTGCCTGGACCAACGTAACGTGATAACAACGTAACGCAATTACGTAACTTCCCTAAGGTTCATGTTCAGCCAGTCAACTACTTTGACGTCATCGGCAGTCGAAGGACCCCGAGCCGATCCTGCACCCGAACAGATCCTGCACCGACACCGGTAGCTAATATAAAGGATAGCAGTTGCTTTCTCATGGTCAGTAAGAAGCACAAGAAGGATGTGGTGTATTGTACTCTAATGGACATGCCGTTATGACAGTGATCACTAGGGGGCACTGGTGTCACGTGTGTTTCTGTTGGGGTTGAAGAGTTGAGGCAGAAAGTAAAAGTTTGCTGGACCTAAACAGCTGTGTCTCAGTGTTTATTTACCTGGTAGAAAACCCACAGCAGACATAAGGAGACTAGGTAAAACAACAACAAGAAGAAGAATTTAGCTTTTTGGGGATCATGCAGAGCCTGGATGTAAAAGTAATAGAGTAATGTCTTTGGAGGCAAAGCTAGAACCAGAACGCAGCCTACTCGACGCTGCGAAATCACAGGCTGATCGTGACTTGGATTGGTTGCCACTGGACTTGTAAGTAATACATTTTATTGTCCAACGCTGTGGATCTATTTACTTCGTGGCTTGTTTCCGTATAGTTGGCTCATGTTAGCATATTAGCTCATTGTTGCAACTCCGCTTTCAACCAGCAGGAGATAGAAGTTTAGCGTTGCTTTAAAGCCACTTTTTAGCAGTTTATTTGTGACTAAATAACCGATCGTAAATCCAAAATTAATATTTAGAATTTGAATTTATATTAGGTGGCATGACTGTCCGCCCTGGGACTGGGAGATTGGGGTTCATATCTCGGTCGGTTCATACCAAAGACTTTAATTGGGGGGGTTAAACCACCATATAGTTCCTGAGCACAGCCACAGCTGCAGCTCACCGCTCCCCGTGAGGATGTGTCAGATATGGAGATGTAATTTCATCAGTGTTTGAATGGGATTATAACTTTAAATAAAGCCGTTTTAAACAAAATATTTAGCTTACGTGCTAATGCTGATTAAAATAGATCCCCTGAATAATATCTTAGGGTCTTTTAAACGATGAGATTGTGTGAGTGTGTTTAACCATGGATTATTTATCATCGTACACGTGGAACATAGATAAATGGTCCATGGTTGAATGTACTTACAATCTGAACATCAAAGAGATGTTAGATAGTGGATTTCTTCACTCTTTGATGGCTTACTTTTATTTTATTTGCATGTTAGCTCAAACTTTTGTTGTATTCACATTTCAACATTTAGGTTGAACTTTATAATTACTTTCATATCTAAATATTTTAGCATCATTATTTGAAGTTAAGTGACAAATGAAGCTCTTTGTGTATCCCTGCACTGTCAACGCCCCACAGCATCAAAAAGTCTTGGTTTGATCTGAGTTTGTTTGGTTAATGAGGCGTTTGTCCTTAAGCACACCAAATGTGAGCAACTAAAGCTTCAGCGACACGTTTCCGAGACTGTTTAGTAAACTTTCTGTGGGTGTGTGTTAATGTGCAGAGGCAGCTCTTGCTCTGCATAAACGGAGACTTGATATCAGCATGTCAGTGAATCAGATAAGTGCTACCCTGTCATCATCAAACGCTGGTCCTTATCGCTTCCTGCTGATCGAGCTGATTAATTTCCTGGCAGAGCCAACGGCAGCCTGTATCCTCTGGGGTCCTAGTCCAGATTATGACTCTGAGCTAATGTTTAGGACTTGAGGGTCGGCTAAAAAAATCAAAGCTCTCTGGACACAGTTTGGGGTGGGGGCTCATTAAAACTCAAAGGAGACATAAAAGGATAGTTTCAGTCAGAGCAGAGGACCACTGCAGGAGAGGTGAGATGGCAGCAGCTGCACCTTTGACCTGAAGGTCAAGCACAGAATGTCACCTACAGCTGCACTCAGGCACTTTTATGGCTAGTTTGACACTTTTTACCACCAAACCCGAATCCACGGCAAACTAAGGTGGCACGAATTCATGTAGCAATGAATTAGACCTAAAAATAAATGAGCTTGTTCCCTGTAGGACCCCTTGTTACAAATAATTCAGCCGTTTGCTTGAATTTAAGAACCTACCTTGCTTGTCAAAGTCAATAGAGCTGCAATTATTCTGGCTCCAGGGACACAAATACACGGCTCCTCCTTCTGTTACAGCCGGTTGGCTGGTGTTGGCTTTTGGAGCACCGATCAAAAGGCTGATGCTGCACAGCAGAGAAAACAAGTCATTAAACATGCAAGAAATGGTTGATTATGGAAGAAAATGTAATCAAATTAATTAGGGTAATATCAAAATGACAAGTATTTACTCATTAAGTTTTAAATATGAATACATTCTTCTTGGGCCAGAAACTGGACCAACTTCAGCCCTCTGTTGACCAGAAACTGCACTTAGTTTTGTAGCATGAGTAGGTTCACTAGTGAGAGGCCGCTACCTGCTTCATGCAATAGCGGTTTACTGTGCTCGTAGCTAACATGAAGGCTAGGAGTTAGCGCTTTCAGTTCGCTGAACATTAATAAAAAGCACAATAGGAGAAAGAGTTTTTCTTTTCTGACTTGGCTTTGTTTCTTCTGGACATGTACGTTTTTTTTTTTTTTTTAAATAAAAATATTCTTTATTTTTAATCACATTATAAAACAAGTAAAAATTCACTAAGCCAGCAATTTTAGAACCAAGTTACAGTTTTTGCTGTGTGAGCCTGCTCCACTTGGTCTCCAGATGACCATTTGGGAAGTTGGGATAGTTAGCCACCATCAACTGAGGAGCAGGTTTAGAGATCTGCTGCAGCATCTGGTCTTCTGCTTGGTTCTGGTTGTCAGGCTCCTTCACTCGTCTGATAGCAAATACACCATACTGGATGGAGATCTCGTAGATTGTAGCAGAATCCTGAGGAATACCTATCTTAACGCTCCTGGGGACAGCAAGTCCCACGGAGGTGCGACTGGGTGCAGAGACGTGCAGCCAACTCCTTGCCTCGGAACCTTGATTTGGCACAACATTCCTTAGAAATGAACTCCCAGCCCTTAGTCCTGGAGATGCACTGTTGGAGTACAACCTGGTTGCAGGACCACGAGCATATGTTTGCATCTTCACAGACCCACGAGATCCAGGAGCAACTGGGCCAAATAGGAAAGCTGGTGAGTCCATTTCACTGAACTTGGTTGGTTTCTCAGCTGCAGACAGAGAAGCGGGACTGAAGGAGTAGCGTTCCCTGGAAGAACTCAGAGATGTAGAGTAAGAACGTGGCGAACCCCTCTTATCAGCCCAAGCTCTTTTTTCCAAGATGCTTAGGTTCAGTTTGGGCATTGGCCCGGAGTGAATCTGGGCGTCGTCCACTGGTTCTGGGCACCAAGTGACTCTTGACCATCCTTGCTGAACCCTGAGCTGGCTGGGAGAGGACTTCCAGGTAACTTCTAGTAGAGAGTCCTTTGCCAGAACCTTGTTTTACTGAAGGCCTAACATTGGAAAAGTGGTTTTTGATCAAATTTGGGGAAACAAGGACTCGTCTGACTTTGTTCTGGGGATAACTGAACTTTCTTGGTTCCTCATCCAGTAGCTGGAGGCCAGCATATGTGTTGCCATTTTGGACGCACTGGGCTTCTTTTGACAATGAACACCACACATGCTCTGCCTGAACCAAGACAATTAGCAAGGACCCCAAACCAAGTCTACAAGCCTTTCCCATGATTCTGCAGCCTGGTCAACAGAAGAGCAGCTGAATCTGGACACGTATGTTTATGTTTATTTATTTGGAAGACGCTTTTATCCAAAGCGACTTACAATTTATAACCTATAGGGCATGTTGTGATCTGTGGGGGAAACCGGAGTACCCGGAGGAAACCCACGCATGCATGGGGAGAACACGCAACTCCACGCGGAAAGGTTTCGAACCTGCAACCTTGGTGCTGCGAGGCAACAGTGCTAACAACAGCGCCACCATGCAGCCCATGTAAGTCATAATATTTTCTGTCCAGCAAAGTGGATGTTTTAAAGGTGTGTGTGTGACAGTGGATCACTGCCACACCTACATACTGGACAGATCTACTGATCTTATAATTAGAATGGGACACATTCATGAGGTATTGAAGGTGTTTATTTGTATATTGATTAGCGGGTGACCCGGTAAGATGGGAAGTATGGTATTTATTGATGGGAAGAGCTGAACAAGGAAAGGGCTGTGGAACAAACATTTGTATTTTGGGCGTGTGCTTACGTTTCCTGTTTCCTGCCAGCAGGTGTGAGCAAAGTAGTCTTCGAGGGCGTATGGATCTTTTATAGGTTCCCGAGGGATATACCAAGAGGAGGATTGGAAGAGTGATTGGGTTATTTTAATATGGTGAAGTATTGATGTATGTTAAGCACTGCTTATTTATAGAAATGAATGTGGAATGTAGATATTTTAAAGTAACTATGATTGTGTATATATTTATTAGCTTTTAAATTTAGTGTTGAGGTTTTAGGTGATGGTTTATCCCAATCAGGGAGATGTATAAAAGCTGATGTTTTCACTGAGAAGAGGTGAGGTGTGTGGGGGATGTAGAAGTCTGTGCAGCAAAAAATAAAGTAAAGAACACCATTCTCCTGTCCTCTGGTTTGTGATGTTACTCTGCTAAATGGATTGCTTCCAAGGACTGGTGAGCCAAGATAACAGTGCGGTTGACTCTAATGGGTCACGCTGAGGTTTTCATTCAGGAAAATAGTCTCCTCCACCTATCTCCTGCATAGCTTCTGATAGAAAGTAGACGGTGAAACTCAGATCTACGTCGCACTGTGAATTAGCACTCCTGGATCGCCACGGGTCACTGCCCGCCAAGATGAGGAAAACAAAAATGGACCAGATTCCGACCCAGATGTTGATCAGTATTTTCTTTTTACAGCGTAGATAAGATGTCCACTGATGTCATTAAACGTTCAAATGTGACGCGCTGCAAGACGTCGGTTCAACTTTCACTTTCAAAGTATTTTCCAACCATGATGGGACGTCTCGGACTGATGTCGTTTCAACGGTCACCAAACCTCCAAATGCTTGCTGGGCAGTCACAGAACCCTCACCCTCCCAACGGCTGTCATGCCTAAGACACGCCTCCTCATATAGGAATGCCACAGTAAATGAGAGAGCACCAGTCGCCGTTTTCTAGGTCCAAACGTCTTTTGTTGTCCGTGACTTTAAATGGTGATTTTCTTTTTGGTACTCCGGTAGTTTGTCTTCACCTTGAAGTGGTAGCAGCCGGCCATTTCTCCTTCTCTGATGTTATTGAGTGGAGAACCTCTCACACCAGTGGTGTTCTGTTGCTGAATACGTGAGCGTGTAACGAGGGGAGGACCCAGGGAAGAGCAGGAGTGCGACGCTTCGGTGAGACAGACAACTGGATGTCCTGTCGCTGGTTCCGCACTGAGCCGTGCTACTGACTGAAATCTTTAGACTAATGGAAGAAAACCACTTTAATAATTTTTATTTTCTTTTTTTTTAATCTCCACAAAATATGTATAGCTATACTTTTTTAGAGTGTTAAGAGGCATGAGTTTATTTTTTTAAGCTAGCTTGTTTTTATAGATTTGGCTTCGTAGCTTCAGTCCTTCGTTTCAATGATGCAACATTGCAGAGTCCATTAGTGGGTAAATGTTGTCTGTTAAGTATCGACGTTGTTACATCCCTACGCTTCTGGAGCACACAGGTCTATAACAGGTAATAACGTTTAACCCTTTGGCTGACATGGCAGGGATAAGCTGATGCAAAGGGAAAGTAAACAAAGCACTGAACAGCTTCAGAAGGAAACAAGCCCACTACAGTACTTGTGTTTGAGCACACCTATGTGAATACCAAGCAAATACACAAGTAAGTTTTAAAAACTAATTTACAGTTTTAGGACTGGCACTAAACTGTCCCAAAGCAAACTGCTAAACCAGCGACACCAGTGGCTGACGACAACAACAGACCCACCCCCCAGCATGTCTGGAGCACATAAGTGGAATATTTACACGGCAGGGTAACCTTTCCCTGTAAACCCTTCACTCCGCAGCACTGAGACGACCAAAATGCAGCTTTTCAATGGGCCTCTTTTTCAAAAGGCTTAATTACCCACCACCTCCTGTGATCTCTGCACGTGTGGATCGTAACTTAGACCTCTGAGTCCACCAGAGGCACCAGTAATGAAAAGTTAACAGCCAACAATAGCCTCCTTAACAACATGATGTGTATCTGTTGGATGATGTATTCATCTGTTGAGACTTGAAATCAGGATTCCTTTCTGTGAGCTCATGTTCAGGAGGAACATCTGCAAACAGAGGTGACTCAGAGGCCCGATGAGGTCAAACATGTAGCATCTAGTGGGAGACTCCATCCCTTCACAAAAAATAAATATAAACATTGTTTATTGGACCTGGTGTTTAAACTAAAACTGTAGACAACTATCAGACAAGTCAAATGCCTGCTGAGATCTTTACGACTGGTCTTTAAGCACTTTGAAGATTAGGAGACTCGTCAATGTCATTTTGAAAGTGGCATGCTTTCAGAGTCAGGATTTCAGCTCAACAGCACGTAACCCGTCTTGGTTATTGGATTTCACACCGAAATGTTTTCACACTTAAATGGTAACAATAGCACACATCCAGGGCCCTTCTGGTCTCCTGGAGGTCTGCCACGTTTGTGGAGAACTTTTAAACTTCCCAAGTTTAAAAGGTTTTTGAGAGCCAGAGCTTGAGTTTTATGCTTGGGGTTAGAATCAGGGGAAAGGCAGGTGAGCATGCAACTGGTACTGTAACGCAGGAGAAAACAGGAAATGTTCTTTCACCTGGTTTGGTCAAAAATCAGAGACTCTTTTATTGGTCGTGAGTGAGTAGCTGACCAGTGATGGTGCTTGAGATGGTACCACTGGTTGGGTTAAGCTCCATCTGTCTTGTAATTAAATGAACACTTACAAAAGGCAAAAAACGATCGTGTATATCTTCTGCACAAATCTAAACAGCTTCAAAGTGAAACATCTGAACAATAAGCTGTGCTGAATGGTAGCATGCCTTTTGATGTGGGGGTGCAGCTTAGCACTCACTCATTATCAATAGCTGTTTGTCTGTTCTGTATACTGAAGGTCTACATCAGGGGTCTCCAACATGTCGCTCGCGAGCTACCAGCAGCTCCTGACGCACTACTTGGAAGTAGGGCTAGGGGTAAACGATTATTTTTAAAACGATTATTCTGATGATTAT